CAGAAGTAGATTGTCAGGCCATTCTTCCTAGGCACCTCTCATAAACTTAAAACTTGCAGCCTTTCAGTTAGTAGATGAGCACATTAACCATTTGCATCACCCAGGGACTCCATACAGTATTTACTCTCTGTAAATTGTTTTAAAATTCAGGAAAAGTATATTTTAGGAAGTAAAAGTTTTTTCTTCTTTTTAATGTCTACATCTAAGTACTCAGGGCCTGCACCAAGACAGAATTGTAGGAAACTGAGTATTGCCTTCTGATTTCTCACCCTCACTGTATTCATCATTTCTTTCTCTGAGCACTCTCAGATACTCTTCCCACCACTGTGGGAATTAATTTAATAGGCTCTCCTTCCTTAGAGATATTTGTTCTCAAAGGCATTTGTATTTTAAGATAGGTGCCCAAAACAATGAAACTCTGTTGATTGGGTTTCAGACACTGGGTCATCCAAAATATTTAGAAATCTGTGTTTCTCCAATTTGCTACTAGGCTGAAGTCAGCCACTGTCTACAGATAGATAAGGTCACAGAGACCAAATGTGGGTTAGATATTATAATGTCTATAACATTGTTGAGCAGCCATACTAAGCGATTGTATCTGTGAATGACAAAGTGCTCTTCAAATTATTAACTCAGATTTCAACTTAATGTGTATGAAAGATTAAAATGAGGTTACAGAACTAGATCTGCCCAGCAGAGGGCATATTTAAGTTACAATCATGATTTTTACTAAGCAGTTTTTTTTTTTTTTATTGCTTCTTGCAAGATGAAGTTTTCATAAATCTGTATTTTCAAAGAATTGCATTTATTAACAAATCATGTAAGCTACATTATTGGGTATTTTTTTTTAGGGACTAAAGAGATGCAAGAATCAGGAATTACTGATTATGTGAGGCCACCCAGCCGATTTAGGAGAGGAGGAACTGGTTATACTAGTTCATTCTGCTGGGTCTTGGGATGGAAAGGTGGGAGCACTTTATGGATTCTCATAAGTGTGGCTGGTTAGCTTCCTGAGCTTTCTCAGCCTAACCAGCCAATTCACAGATGCAGTTCCTCAGGAGAATCTACGGGACAAAACAAATAAACAAGCCAAATGGCATATGACTTATTATTTCTCAAGTAAAGGTTCATCTGTCTAGGGCTTAGCAAGCTGGCAACCACTTCTCCACTGGGACAGGCATAATCCAGCAGGTATCAGACTTTGTCATCTTGCCCTCACCTCACAGAGGCCACTGCTTGCTCACCTGTTCCACCTGCTGTGAAAACCCTCAAGTTCCGGGAGAAGATACACATGTTCATATTTTTGGGTGAGTGCATGTGGTATGGGCAAGGGAGGAGCCCTGGGGTTGTTGTTCACAAACCTACTGTCTCTGTGAATCACCTGACCCTTCTTTGTCTCATCTGTGAAATCCAGAAACAGGAATATATCCCCAAAGAGTCAAAGTCATCCCTAGTGGAACCTTGGAAACAAACTGGACAGTGACCCTCTGATTCTTGACAATTTCTGACTTTTGGCCGTGTGGTTGATCTTTCTGTGGTTTGGTCATGGATGACCTACTGGATGTAGAAGAGGACACAGTCCAGGTCATAGTATAGAATTCCAGCTTCTTCACCCTGGTGGAGCAGTGGTTAAGAGCTATGGCTGCTAACCAAAAGGTCGGCAGTTTGAATCCACCAGCCGCTCCTTGGAAACCCTATGAGGGCAGTTCTATTCTGTCCTATAGGGTCACTATGAGTCAGAATCGATCGACTCCATGGCAACTTTTTTTTTTTTCCCTCAGACTTGTTCCATCTGCTACTCTTATAGTAATCCTCTACTCCAGCCAAACTGGTCTGTGCTCTCAGGGCTTTTGTTCTTGCTACATCTTCCTTATCACTTGGAAGTCTCCCCAGCTGCTGAAGGTCCCACAAGCATTTAATAACCACTTTCTTCTGTGTACTCTTCGACCAAGTATTTTTTATATTATTATTTAGGTCCTTAGCATATTTCACCACGTTGATCCAAGTAGATAAATAAGGTCATTGCTCTCTTAAGTTTCTTAACATCTGTTTTTGTGTATCTACCCATAGTTAAAATAGTTCCTTTCATGCTATTTATATTTGAACCGCAGTTCTATGAAGTTCTATCTCCTAACCATTTTTCTCCAAATGTATTTGTCCTAACATCTTCCATTAAAATTGGTATAAAATCAGTCTCTCACCCTCGCTCTCTTAGATGACACTGGCCTTTGAATGGTATAAATCAAACCAAAACCAAACCCGAATGGTATAGGGGAATCTTTTAAATATCTTTTCTCTTTGTCCCAGTTTTTTCCTCTAATTGAGGTGATTATTAGCAGTGGAATGATCAAAAATAATTATAGTGGCTTTCTATCATTATTGAATGCCTGTTTTGTGCTGGATCCTATTCTAAGCACATTATTATATTCATTTAGTTCTTACAACAGCCTTATGACACATATATTTTTATTATCCCATTTAGTTCAGGAAACGGAGGAACAGAGAAGTTAAGTAACTTGTAGAAGGTTGCACACTAGAAGATTGCAGATCCAGGATTTAAACCCAGTGGGCTCTACCTACCGCATTATCTTGCTCCAGTCCAGTACAGCTAGATGGTGCCCAGCTACCACCAACTGCTCTGACCAGGATCACAACAGAGGGTTCTGGACAGAGCTGAAGGATGTAGAACAAAATTCTAACTCACAAAAAAGAGACCAGATTTACTGGCCTAAAGGAGACTGGAGAAACCCCGAGAGTATGGCCCCCAGACACCCTTTTAGCTCAGTGGTGAAGT